TTATTCAATCAATCAATACCAAGTAAAAGTTTCAACATTACCTTCTTAAGACATACCAACGTTTCACCCAAAAATCATCTGAATTTTCCGGAGTAGATAAACAACCTTTCTTGGTTATTGTGTCACTTTATTACCAACAAAAATAATCAAAAACATAATAATTAGCATATATTTTTTTTCAATTATAATAATAATAACTATAGTAACCATAGTAGTGAAAGGCTAATAAATTAATAGTAATATATACATTTTGGAAACCATGCAAACTTGTGCAACCAATTTTTCTGATTTAGAACATCTTGATGAATCTATATCAGTGCATGGTCCTGAAAGTGGTGGTTCTTGATTTATAACAATCTATAAAATAAACCATTTTTTATGTAAACCAACAATAAAATATTTAAATAATTAAATAAAAATTCCGATTAAATTAAATAAAAACCTCTTTGGATAATCCCCACTTCTTCCTCCAAAGTGTTAGGGTCTTTTTGGTTAGCTCTGTAGGATCACATTTATTCGTTTTTTCATTTGAAGTTAATTTATTACGAGCTTCTAATAACGCAATTACTTGCTTTGTATGTTCAACTGCCTCTTTTCTTCTTATTGTCTCACTGATCATTTTGTAATCATTAACTAATGAAACACCACGTGATTTCCAATCTCCTAAAAATTCTTCTCCACGTACATATTTGTTGGCCGTATTGAGACGCCAAAGCTCAGAAATTTTACGTGTCATTGGTGGTTTAAGTGTAATGGAAAATAGTCCGCTGGTTTTCCATAACACTTTTGATTGACTTATCAATTGTGTTAATTTTGATGGTGGTTTTGCTTCACGTCCTTGGATTTGAACTGCAATATCCATGTGAAATGTTATGGGTTCTACACATTTTTCAGCCTCAACATACCATGTTAATCCTAATAAAACACGACTATTAGAAGTTGTTATTCGATTCAAAAATATTGAATCATGAAGTGTACTGTCCCATGACGCTTGTGCAACAATCACACTAGTACCATCCCTATTAAAATGAACAGGTTGATGTGGCAATAAATTCATTTGAACATCATTTTGAACTGAAGACTCTGACAATCCCCCTTTTCCATTTAATAATCTTACATGTCCAATTTCCATTTTTGTTATTTTATTCCAAGGGAATAGTCTGCCTGAATTATGTGTCAATGTTAGAATTATTCGACGTTGTAGTCCTTGTCTTAAGAAAAATGCCCCAGGATCTAGAGAATTTTGTGTAAGTACTTGAACTGGAACATATTCTCCTGTAGGGGCAAGTTCACAAACTTGTACCCAAGCTACAACGTCATGTTTTTCTTCTGATACAAGTTCATTCTCAGAATGACGTTCTCTTGTAACCATAGAATCTGCGTGAACCTGTCCATTAATGCCTCTATAAAGTGGTCTCTCTTTATGATCATCCCATTTTTTCATCTCTTCTAAAACACATTGCTTTGCACGTCCAAAAATTTCAAATGTTAACATTCGATTTGTAAATATATCTATCATCTCAGGCGATACTATCATTTTAAATGTTTGTTCATAATTAAGGTTAATTGGTAAATTTCCAAAGTCTGACATGATGTTAGTAGCCAAAACCCCACTTGATTCATTTCCAAATGATGAATGTTTGAATTGCACATGCACATCTGTAAATTGTGACTCTGAAATTCCAGTAAGTTCTAGTATTTTGACCTCAAACACAACTTTGTATCCAATCAACAATTTACTTGATGTTTCATTTGGCTTATCTTTGATTAAATTATTATTATCATTATCTTTAGCATCTTTGCCATCTTTGCCATCATTGTATTTATCTAAAAAATCTGCAATATATTTGATAAGAATTCTGCAATAACCTAATACATCACCAGAATATCTACAAATCACTGGTGTTTTATGTTCATGTTCAGTTTTATATATTAAACTTGTTAGACCAATGGAAGCACTTCCTATAAAGGTATAATGAGGTAAAGGATTTTCATAAAATGGGTCTTCCCAATTAAAATGTCTACTGTATTGAGGACGATCTATAAAATTATACAAGTTGCGCATCTTCTGAAGGCGGGTTTTGAGTTTATCCAAAGACCAGACATATACAACTCCATTTTTAAAGTCAATAACTTTCACTCCTACACAAGGTTTTTTAGACGCGTGTAGTGAAGTGTCCTCATTGTTATTATACTGGTTTAATGCTGACGTACTTTCATAAGATGAAATTGGATTTGTAAATGGTTCATCTTCTATAATGGTAAATTGATAAAGAATTTTTTTATCAAGTTCTTTACTTATAACATTAGCCTCTTTCAATATGACTGCATTACTAAGTAAAGTCTCAGCCATGTAAACATATCTTTGATGCCTCCATTTCTTGACAGCCATCCTAATAAGACGCAATTCTTCTTCGGTATATGTTGATTTTCCTGGTCGTGCTTTGCTATAATCTTCATAAGGATTCTGTGAAATGTTTTGAAGTTTATGCATTTCATCTTGAACCATCTTAAGTTTTTCTTCAATCTGTTTATTTTCGGCTTTTAATTCATCTGCTTCGTTAATTTTTTTCATCTTTTCTTCATATTCTTGTTTTTGCAATTCAAGTTGTTGTTGAATTTCTTCTTTAAACGGTTTGACTTTTTCTTCAACAATTTCAGATTGCGCCAATCCGTTATAATTTGTGTCAAATGTCTCATATGTACCATTTGATCCCATTTTCTCAGAAGTTCTTGATTCTGTATCATCATCAAAATGTTCGTTTCTACTGTCAGGTCGTTTACGAGCTTCTTGTATTTTCTTAATGTCTTCCATAAGTTTTTGTAAATCTTCATCAGGTAAAGTTGTGAATTTTAAGTTGTCACCACCAGAATTTAAATAATTAAGAGCCACCTCCCGTTTTGCATAATTCCAATCTATAACAGCTTCTGACATAAGAGATGTGGGTGAATCTGGTCGTCTTAATCCATCCTCGTTATTAGCAATACTAATACTGAGTTGCTTTGATTTAGCACGTTCTTTTCTAACTTCTTCAGGATTATTAAATCGAAACACGTGAAAGTCTCCAAGAATGATACGAAATCCCGAATTTAATTTTTCAGGTGCAGTTATACGCATTCCATTTACCATTGTTAAACTGTCTGTACATGGATGCAATGTTACAGCACCATCCTTATTTTCAAAGTAACAATGTTCATCCATAATATTTTCACCACTCAAACGTATATCAGCCGGAGCTTCAGCTTCAGATTTGCCAACACGTGTTATACCATTTTTAATTTGATAAACTAAACATTCTGACATCAATGGATCTTCATTGAGATTGACAAGATGTGGGATTTTCTTTGGAGGATGTACACCAACTGCATTTTTCTCCACCATAATTCCAAGCTCTTCCAAAGTTTTTTCACGTTCACGTTGAATCTCTTCAGTTTTACGCATTTTTTCTTGCCACGTTTCGTTAACTTCAGTCATCAATTTTTCAGAAGCGAGTATTTGATCAAGTAGTTCTTCTTTATTCTTCTTTATTTTATTACCATCCTTGTCCGTAAGTACAACAAATTGTTGAGAAGGTGGAAGATCTGCATCCTTACGTGATTCTCCTATTACGTCACTGATATTTGCATTAGGATCTATACCAAGCTTACCACGCAATAATTGTAATTCTTCTTTAAGTTCACGAATAAGTTTGGCATTAGGATCTTCGTTGACAACAGCCTTATTCTTAATACGTTTGGCTGCATCAGCATAACGAAGAGTGCTAAGGGTTTCATCATAATCAGCAGGTGAAATTGCAGCAATCATAGCAGTTTTAGAATTACCACCCAAACTGTCTTTTAATAGCCAAGTCAAAACCTAATAAATGATAAATAAAATAATAATAAATATACAACATATAATATAAAAATTCTTCAATAAAACTTGATTAACTAATCATAACATACTGAATCTCTATATGGTACAAAACTATCGCCTTTCTTTCCTCCCTTTTTACCACCACCACCTGATGATTGTTCAGCTAAAGCAGAAATAACTTTACCCAATGTTGTTAAAGACTTGTTAATATTTGCTCCTTCTTTTAACCGTGCACCTGTTGCACCAGTAGAATTTGCACGCTCAGAACCAGCTAAATCAACAAGACTGATAATAAAATGATAATATTATTATTGTTATTGAGAAAATAATTAATAAATAAATCATTTGTATATTTTATAATCAATAAATAAATTGATTTTACCTGATGCGAGAAACTTTTTCAGTATCCATATTAGTTTCAGGGTCGTGACGTTTTTGAGTTACTAATAATGTGAATACAGCATGAGAACGACTTGAAGTCTCATTCATATTTGTTGCTGCCACTGTTCTTGCCTATAAAAGCCCCATAATGAATTGGAAAATTTTTTCCATAAGGTTAATTCTAAAGTTTTTTAGTTTTTTTTTTAAAAAATATAATAATTATAATTTGTATATAAAATTACCTTATTACCCTCATCCATTAAATTTTCAATATCTTCAAAAGAATTAACAATCAATTTAGATAAATCTTCAACATATGGACCCAACATAGGATGTTCTCTGACTTTAAGATTTCCTTTATTTTTAGGATTTAATAAAT